AAGAACCTGAGATGAGAGGCTTAACATGGCCAAAGAACAGCAAAGTGGCCAGAAAGTTGGGGCACAGTGAGCAAGGGGAGTGAGAAGCTGATGAGAGCCATATATGAGACTGCACATCTGGTAGCATAAATTTCCACCTCTGGACATTCCATTCCATTTGGTTTAATTCAAGTTGGCTGACTTTGGCCTGGTCTTATCAAGAAAAATAAGCACCTCAAGTTAATGAGTAAAGAACCAAATGAGGTAGTTAAAAGTGCCTGGGTAGTGAGATGAGAAACCCCGGTTCTAATCTCCCTTCTGTCACTGCCTTACCCTTTGATCTTGAGCAACAGTGTGTTTGAGCAAGAGTAGAAGGAAGTTCAGATGAAAAGGAAGGCACAGGACCATCATGGGGCTTTGAATACCTTGTTAAATAATCTTGACCCCATTCAGGGGTTTCAAACTCAGGTTCCTGCAGAAGCCAGGCAGATAAAATAAATGAGTCAAAGAGGTCTGTGTGTTCTTATTATTATGGGAACTAAGAACTGGAAAAGACAAGTTCAGCTACGTAGTCCCACCAATGGCTCCACCTGCAAGCCAGTAAGGGAGCTCTCACCAGAACCCAACCATGCTGGCACCTTGATCTCTGACTTTCCCGCCTCCAGAATTGTGACAAAATATATTTCTGTTGTTTAGGCTACCCTGTCTTTGATATTTTATTATGGTAGCCAGAGCTGAATAAGACAGACATCAATAATTTTCACAGAAGCAAACTTTATTTAAAATTTTTAAAATATATTTTTATATTTCAGAGAGGAAGGGAAAGGGAGAGAGAAATAGAAACATCAATGATGAAAGAGAATCATTGATTGGCTGTTTTTCACAGTGGCTGTTTTCCACAGTGGCTGCACCAGTCTGCATTCCCACCAGTAGTGCACGAGGGTTCCTTTTTCTCCACATCCTCGCCAGCACTTGTCAGTTTGTTGATTTGTTGATGATAGCCATTCTGACAGGTGTGAGATGGTACCTCGTTGTTTTGATTTGCATCTCTCGGATGATTAGACTTTGAGCATGTTTTCATATGTCTCTTGGCCTTCTGTATGTCCTCTTTC